TGGTGTACTGGATTTCAGTTACGTATTGCTAAATTTACAATTCAAAACGTATAAGCGGCTAACATGGATATCGCAAAATAGAAATGCTACACATGACATTACTGTCACAAGGGGCTAAATACATATTGAATTCACACACAAAGCTAAGTGAGTAGTTATTGTTATCCATTTACCACCCAAAACTACTTAAATATGCTGAAAATTAATGTTGATCAATTTTCTAACTCTGCAGTGAACATATTATAATTTAATATATATATTTTTAAATTTTAAAATATAACATTCCTACAATTTGTACAAAGCAATTGTATAATTAATTAATAGGTTCAAAGTAAATGAGTATAGGACTTAAAAGGTTTCAAGTAGAAGAACTAACTAGAGATAAGACCCTAACAAATAATTTTATATGTAGCAAAAACAAAACAAAACAAATTGTTAATTTGTAATATATGTAAAATAAACTTGTGAACACTCTAGTCTTTAGATTAATAATAATTTAATTGAGTGTTCTATAAAATAATAAGTATTAATAATAAAATTCATACACAGATCTACAAAATTATCGAAAATATACTATGAGCGCCTCTAGTTTACTATTATCTCATGTATAAATGTACATGCATTTAAATACATATACAACTACAATACTATGAGAGTTTAATTATGTGGTAAATTAACTTACTTTAATCTAACTGAGGCTACCATAATAATTATATTAGTTGAACCAAGGAATAAGAAATAGGTTTGATATTAACATTTATAATTCAATATCAATTAAAAATAATTAATGCAAGTATTGAAAATACTTGAAAGAATATTTTTATTATTTGAAAACACAAATTACTAAACTGAATTTATAATATACCACTTGTTAGATATGACCATAGATGGAGACATATGCAGAAAGAATTCAGTTGTTCAGCTTAATGTTATTTGGTATCATCCGAGATCCAAGTCAATAGAACCGTTTGTATACATAATGACATAACAATATATTATAATCACAGATGTTGATATTATAATAAAATTCTGATCACGACACTCTTTTTAGCCATTGAATACAAAGAATGGCTATTATTACATCCCCATTTTTTTTTTTTATTATATTTTCTTATAACATCATAAAATAAGTGTGTGAATTGTATAATTATTGAAATATGAAATTTAAATGTTATAATTATAAATTTAATAAGATAGACTTCTGACCTAAATGTGTAATATTAATTAGTTATGTATTCACCAAAAATACTTAGAGAAAAAAATGTTTTAATTGTCATGTACTTACAAATGCGTTTTTATTGTTATATAGATATTAATATTTTTATTTATAAGACACTTAGGTAAATATTAATATTTCATAATAATAACAATAAAAATGAATCACATGATCCAAATCTAATACTATGCTCAATGCTCATAATAATATTTGTCTAGCTAAAATAGTTAAAATAAATAAAAATGAAATGAATCAATGCATTAATGCATTATTCAAAGTTCAAGTTTAATACTATCAAGTAACAATGAGTGATAGTAATCCAATTAATATAAATTAGTTGATAATATTAATATTATATTACATTATATTATTATTACACATTTAAAATGAGACTTATCATTAGATAATATTGATAAATGATAAGTGATCTTATTGTAAATACTAAATTACACAGACACAGACTTCTATACTAATTAGTAATTTCTATAAAGAAATCTTTGGTAAATTGTAATTTGTAATGCATAATATATTTAAGTTTATTTAGTATTTAATTTGATATAATGTGAAATATTTAACCTTAATACTAGATATTAAACTACTAAACTACTGAGTAGTATGTAAAAGATTATAACGATTAACAAGTGATAATTATTAACTTGCTACAAGCATAGGTGGTTTTTGGATACATTTTTCTTCTTTGTATTGTTTTTATTTTTTCTAAGGTTTTTTTTTTTTTTTGTTTGATAAAAAAAATAATGTTGCCTTTTTGTTTATGGTTTTGAATATATTATCATATTTTTTTGGGTACATCGTGTATGATGCAGTGTTATACTACTTGTACTAGAGAATATCCTTGCTATGAGTCTTATACTTAAGCCAAAAGTTTGTTAAAGTATGATTATGTTGTTGTAATAATAGTTTTTATTAACATTGATAATGATTTCCATATGAAAAATATGCCCAAAAGTCCTAAAATGTAATTGCTAATTCATTTTTTTTAGAGAAAAAGCTATGGTTCTATTTTCAATTAAGAATGTATGTATTTTGTAATGAATTTCTTGGTGTATATTCTGAAATCATTATTGTTGCAGGCCATCATATAATTATAATATATCAAAATTATGCAGGTCACAATTTTGATGTATGATATTGTTATTCTAATTTGTTTCATCTCTATATAAATTAATTCCATTCATTTCTGATAATTTAATTTATGCAACATTTTTATAAAAGTAACTGAATCATAGGAAAAATTGATCAGATTTAACTTTTTAAGTTATCATAATTCAATACTGTTTACAATAATAAAATTAATGCTAATGTCAGTAATCAGTAATGTGTTCTTTTAAAAACTCATTCAAAGAATTTTTCTCGTGTTAGGCAAAATATAATCTTAACTTTTACAAGACAAAAGAAAAACCACACTAAAATTCTTAGATATAATTATTTTTTTTTAATGATAATCCTGAATAGACATTTTGATTCCTAAAGGGTTTACTGTTTAGCAGTGAAAACCAATTTTGACATGGATTAAAACATGCATTTTAGTATAATAACTATGTTAATGTACAAAGATAATTATTGTATAGAATGTTTGTTCACTTTGCCATTTAAATCTTTAAAAAAGTTGAATGGAATTGTGCAATCAGAGTGAAATTATTAGTTAAATGGCTGTGGAGTGAAATAGTGTTAGTTCAAAATACTTAAAAGGTTTATAAAAAAATCATAAGCAAAAGTCTAAATGTATCGAAATGTATGTTAGATGTAAAATTTACCCTTAACGGTTTATGCTTTATACCTAGAGTTCTAAGACAGAATTAGGCTAAAACATCAATCATTGTAGGCAAAATCATAACATAAAAAAATATATGTACAAAATATTTATTTGAAATTTTAAACTGTCTAAAAATTTATCTCACCTTCATGTATCTATATAATTGATAATGGAATAAAGTAATAAATAACAATTACCTGCAAAATTATTTTTGTATTAAATTGATTTTATGTAAAATCATAATAGTTGTAAATTGTACTATGACAACTATTAAGATATATAATTGTAGACTATTGTAGTAGGTATAAAATTGGTACCTAAATATTAAACCCTGGATATTATTAAAATATGTGTATATAAGTAGGAATTACCAAAAGTAATGCAACTTCGCGAGTTTTTAGTGGAGTGGGTGTAAATGACTGGTTATTTGGAAACTTAATACCTATGTAAATTGTAATAATTTATTAACGTAAACTATCTACCATCTACTTATGTCAAGATTTAAAAGTAACAAAGACATTTTTTTTATTTATAAAAAAAAAAAAAAAATACCTACATAATAATTGGGTATTTTGTTAATTTACTGCTGTGCGCATTTTAATAATATTAGAAGTCATGGTAATTAAATTTATTTATTAAACATATCATTAATAAAATATAATTTATATTATAGGTAGCTTAAAGAGTGATATTTTATCAAATAATTTAGATGGTATTATTAATAATAAAGTAAATCAGGAATCTAATTTGTTTTAACAACTTTAGTTTCAAATTTTTTATAAGTTAATCATTAATTGTTTTTTTAGTGGATCATAAAACATTAAAAACAAAACAACAATTACTTAATAAATTAATTTTATTTATTTATTTTTAGACTTTCTAATTTTCTATGCTCTAATCCAAAATTTATTATCGCGATAATCATAATTTTATTGGCTGTTATTAAAACCACTGCGATAATAACTAGGGAATGGATTTTAATTTAATATAAATTCAAAAATATTTAAATATATATTTGTTTATTACTTAATAAATATTTATTTATAAATGTATAATATTTAAATATTTAAATTACAATTATAACAACAATGGTTTAGATCAGGCGCGCATCCAGAATTTTTGTTTGAGGGGGCTTAATAATTACACACAAGTAAACAATTAAAACTAATTTTTAAATAATCACATTTATTTATTATCACCATATAATGTTATATATTATTATGTATTTAATATTTATAAATATATTTATAACTAAATCAATTTAAAATTTAAGTTTCCTGGGTCCCTTTTAAAAAAGAACTGTTAATACTTCGGATTCTTTAATTTGTCACTAAGAAAAAATCGAACAGACTGAATTATCTAAACGAGTTTTTCATGCCACGACAGACAGTCGAAAGTCATAACTATCATTGTTATCGTAGTTACCAATCAAAGTTGATCCTACATAATCGCTAGGTACTCGCTAATATCTATAAATATAAAACTAATTTTCAACGAAATAAGAAATCGGCGATTTCTACAAACCTTATTGCGTAATATTGAACTATTTTTATTTATTATATATATGTGTGTATCTAACATAGTAAAATTTGAAAATATAACATTATCGTTTATCATTGTTATACTATAATATTTGCTATAATAACGTATCATTTTAATGAAAAAAAAAAAAATTTTGGGGGGCTTAAGCCCCAAAGCTCCCCCTCCTTGGGTGCGCCACTGGTTTAGATGGTTCAGTACTCAATTTTCCTACTATAACATTTGCGATATATCAACCGTCGGCGTCTGTGGTTTCATCTATTCCAACCCAAATAGACCCATCTCCAATGATATTTTGAATTTTCGAAATAGTTTCTTCATACACCTCACTAACATAATTTTTTCGAAGTGTACTCTCGTCGGGAATTTTATGACCAGTATATTTTTCTATAAAATTTTTAAATGCAACATTTTAAAAAGAGGAATGTCTGAACGTATTAGTGCACGACACAAATCATCATTAAACACTGACTTACTATTGGTAGGTGCGGATGATGTAGAAGTAGAAATAAAATTTTGTTAAAATATAAGCTTTCTGTCTCTATTGCCTCTATGTTTACTGGTATTGATGTGCTGAATAACTTGACCACGTTGGTCGATAGATACTGATTTATCACAAGACTGACAATATAAAACTTGCCCATTATTCCTAAAAGTTTCATTCGAAAATTCTTCCAAATAAATACTTACTTTTGTCCTTTTTGTGCGAGTGACAGAGCATATTTAAAATTTAAATAGTTAACAATATTATATCATACAAACTACACAAACGGACACAATACGAAAATAACGTGATCGAATAACGCTCATACGAATACTGATCGAAAAGTGAACGCATATACTCCTATACTGAAATTACTACCTACCTACTACTTAGATAAGATATCGAATCGTCGTTTGATGTCAAAGGCGTATAGTACAGAGACCTAATCGTATCGTAAACGGAAATTCTTCAATAATACATTTAAATACAGAATTCGTATATTTATTTGTAAAATAGTTAAAATATACATGAAAATTCTACAATATTACATAATTTAGATATTTATTTATAAAAAATGTAATTATTCTAAAATATTTAAAAATATTTAAAATAAAATTAGCATCAGATTACTTGAAATTAAATGAAACGTATACATATATCGAAAACTTTCCGATGCTATTACTACAAAAAATATTTATTTAAATTAAAATCCGTTCCCTAGTAATAACTAATTATATTATCTACTTTAGATTTATGAGTTTGTTGTTTACTAGTTTATAGTGTTTATACTGTTCAGTATCGTTGTTGTTGTAATGTTGTAGGTACGCGTTAGTTCAGATTGTCTATTTTAAATTTCCGTTCGTAATGTTCGTATAAAATATTTATTTTGTTTTGATTAAGGTAATTGGTGTGTGCTATTACTGCTATTTAGTGTTTATATGGTGATTGGTAACGACATATTATTTTACTTCATAATGCCAATGCCACTAATTCGGTGTAGTAAACAGTTATGTAGATTTACAGAAAATTGTTAAGTGAATTCACGTTTTTGAAAAAAGTCCATGGTTTAGCCAATATTTAGTAAAATCCACAGGAGAGTAAGAGACACCCCGGACTCCGAAAGTTTCGAAGACTGATCAATGAATTATTATTACATTTGTTTTGTTTTGTTTTTTTTTTTCTACTGTCTTAAGCCGTAAAATTTGGTTGAAAACGTACGTGAACTATAATTTATAAATAGGTAATACGAATAATAGATTTTTGCACAATATTGCCTGCATACATAATTAGTTATAACAAAAAAATATAATGATCAAAATAAGTAAATATTGTTTATTTATAGGTATCCGTTCAAAATGTCTCTGGTTCGGAAAAAATAATTTGGTAACTCTGAGTAAAAATAAACATTGGTATAAGAATAATTGTTGTTCGCGCATCATTATCCAATATCTATTCTAAGAATCGATGTGTCCATGAACGGCATGGACTAGACCGTTGAGCACTCTTTCTCGTCTACACTCTACCTTGTCGGTCATTCGGCATTTCGGTAACGTACGGTCATCAACGTCAAGGCTAATCAGTCATCGATTTTCAGTGTTTCAGTGCTCGTGCGACTTTTGTTGAACTACCGCTTCGTCGTCCCGTTTTCATCGCGTTTTTTTTTTTTTTGTGCGACTTTTAAATTTAAAATCGGTCCAAGCGATTTACTGTTCTACCTTTAATCCGTTGTGTAAGTCTAACCCGTACACCGTATTGTCGTGTGTTCGACATTCTTTTTTTTTTTCTGTTTAATTGTCACGCTTGTTACACGTGTTCAACGTACCGGCATTTAAAGGCTGATCTATAAAATTATATTGCGTTTCTCCGTCGACATAGCGATTTTCGTGACAACGGATTATCGAATACCGTTTAATTTATAATTAACTAGGTACTATAATATAATAACCGTTTTACGTATTCGTTGTTGTAACAAAATGCAGGCGAGTGTACCGCTGACCAGTGGTCCTACTGTCGCTGTCAATTCATCGGGAACTGCTGTCACTGGAATCGCGTAAGTATTGTATTTATTTCTATTGTACACTTGTACCATGTTTATTATTATTATAATTTATCTGTTTACGTGATGTTAACACGTTTGTGATATCACTAATATCCTGAATATTAAATTATTAAATATGATTTTTTTCAACTCAGAATCAAAATGTTATATAGTATGGGGTTCGACCTCGATGAACGCTAATAAAATTTTTGCACTTTTTTTGACCTGTATCCTATATGATTTTCAGTGAAAAAAAAAAAACAAAAATGTATCCCTCAACTTGCTATGCAACACCACCTCTAGTAGGTCACAGGATATTTACTATATAGCAGAGATGGGCAACTCAAAGTAACTAGCGGGCCACTTTTAAAGTACTTTAAAATCTAGCGGGCCGCAGTGCATAGGAAAAAGCAAAAAAAAGAAAAAAAGAGGCCGGCTACCATCCTGTCGTCGTCGCAGGGGACAAGTCGTAGCAGACGCCGCGCGAGGTCATGGAACGAGCGGTGTCTAGAGACCAGGAGAAGAGGCGCCTTCCTCAACAACACCTGAGGAAGGAAGAAAGCCAGAACGAGATGCAAAGTTAGCGAGCAAGCAAGCCGGGCCAGAAGACAAAGAGAATTAAATTGACGGCAGCGAAGTTGGCCGACAACCTTCACTGGAGAAAATTAAATATAAGTCAAAAGATTTAAAATTTTCTATATTTTAAAATTATAATGCGCTCTTTAGAATATGACAAAAATAAATACTCGATCCATGCTTACCTACATTTTAGTTATAATAAATATTATATAAATAGACCAAACAATGTACATAAAATAACACACACAAATTTAAATAAGATTTTTGAATAATGAAATTTAATAATTTACTTAAATATAAGTTGTATGAATTTTACAAAATAGTCGTACATAATATAGTCTCACATTAGTTTAAATATTATATTTATTCTGCAAAACAAAATTTTAACATTAGTAACGAGAATTTAAATTTATCTGATTTACTGAATACAGTACCTATATAATATAAAAGTATTTATATTATTATTTAAATATCTTTGAACTTTAGTTATTAATTGCGGTTTACAAGCGATAAGTGAAATAAAAGTCATTTTTCTAATGACTGATAAATTTTATTGAAGATATAGTAAACTAACAAATAACTAGTGTACATTTGATTTAACAGCTTAACACACTACAATTAGATAATAATACTGAATAAAATAACTAGTTGAACGCTAATTTGTAATTAACCAATATCTACCTTTCTTTAGTTTAAATACTATTTATGAAATAATAATAACAAAATTTAACTGTAACATAATATATATAAATATATAAGTATCCACTGTGCAAAGTTAGTTACTATTTATCGCCACAAAGAAATATTGCAAGACGATATATAAAACGTCATTATAATATTATATTAAAAATTAAATTAGTTACGCAAGTACAATAAATAAACATTAAAGATCAACTATTGATACTACATAAATATAGATTCTAATCACCATCAATATTAATTGTTAAAACGATTAACGGCATAAATCTAGTTTAGCGGCCACGTTTATTTTCACTTTTTAAACACATGTACCCTAGTTAAGTATGCTGAAACGACGGTAAGTCAGAATTTTGCGGACGATTTAGTTTCAGAGTTATAGCTATTTGAATTTGGTTAATATGTATGTGTTATATCTATAGCCTCGTCAATAGCTTAATATGTTACTCGATAATGTAATGAATACTCGTAGTCTAATGGCACTGAGGGATCTCGAGTTCGACGCTCAGTGAGCGCTAATAAATTTTGCACTTTTTCTGATAAAATTGTTTTTATGATAACTGATACTATATAGCAGGATGGCAACTGCGGCCCGTGTACCTTTTTTATCTGGCCCGCGCTATATTTTCAAATTACTTCATATATTTTAGTGCTTATCTATATTTTATTTTATTACATTTTCGATAAATCCAAAGAAAGAAATCGTTAAACAGATGAAACCTGGGACATTTACTAAGAGTTTCAACTACAGAAATAGAAGTGGATTTACTAAATTGTCTATTGAAAAACCTCATCCTCAAGTATCACATTAAATAATAATTGTAAATATAAAAATAAAGATAAAAATAAATGTTAGTAAATTCAGCGAT